GAGTTTGGGGGATAGATGTGTGTCTGTGGGTCCCTTCTAGGGCATAAAACAAAATTTTGATTTCTTCTCTCTCTCTCCACATAATAATAGCAGAGTTAATTTTGATTCTTTTAGGAGTCTTGTTATGTACTGCAAAACTGAGATTATTGCTTCCTAGGTCTAAGCATTGGTCCTACTTTGGGCTTGTGATTCTGAGTGTGCCAGCACTGAGGCTCCCCTACTAACAGCTGAAATCACAGCAAGCTGTGTTAAGTGGAGTGGGAGTCTGAAGACATGTTGGTGAGGGGCTGGTGGAGAGGAGTGGCCGGCGGTGAACACTGCAGCAGAACCCCATGGAGAGGCGTGGCAATCGGCCATGGACCTGAGCAGTGGGGCATGTAACATGCCCCCATACCTCCACCCCCTTCCACTCAGGCTGGGAGCTAAACACTGCAGATGAAGTTCTGAACTCTGGAACTGCACACCAAGGACAGAAACTGTGGGTGGGGTGACTGTTGGGCTGCTGGACTTAAGACTCTCAGGGGAAAAGGACACTTCCAAACTTACTTGGGGGTAGGTCTTTTGCTCATGGTTGATGTTATGAATCCTGTCTGGTGTTTCCCCAACATAATGCCATATTATTTCACATCTTTATTAAAAGGCTTTTGCTACACTCAGACTCCGTGCTTATGAGAGGGGAAGTGTTGCCTCTTAGAGGAGCCCGGGGGGTGGTATGTAATTGTCCCAGGTCACTGGGTGGGGACTCAAGCCGGTTTTGCCTTGTGTTATTGAAATGGAACCCCTAGATCCTGAACCCGGCCCTTGTTCCTGCTAACGCTGAAGGGCAGAAGGGTTATCTATCTATCTATCTCCACTCCATACATCTATCTATCTATCTATCCCCATTGACCCCATCTATCTATCTATCCCCATCCACCCCCTCTATCTATCTATCCCCATCCTTTGCATACAGAGGTTCCCAGTGCTGAGGGCTGGGACAGAGTCTTGCACGGGGTGGGGTGTGATGGTTCTTCCCCACTCTCTGTCACCCCGCAGCAGGGGCTCCTGATCTGAATACCCTGCCCCTCATCCCCCTGCCCTGGGGCGTTGGTGCCTGTTGTATTCTAAAACCAAATTAGCCCCACATCCATCTTCCCACCATCCTCCTGATCAGGACAAGGCCCCCGGCTCCGACCTTGACCACCAGACTTGGGCTGATGCCCGCCACAACACCCGCACCCACCACAGCCAGGACACTCCCTCCAATGTACAGGCCCAGCCGCACAGCCTTCTCTTTAAAGCGCTGTCCGTAGGCCGTTAGGAACTTGGACGTCTTCCCGGCCAGCCCCTGCTCCAGCACCTTCAGGGCAGCCTGTTTCTGGGGGTCCTCGCCCCACAGCTGCCCCTGGCAATGCGTCAGCAGCTCCCAGCGTTTCCCCTCCAGCCGTCTCTTCATCTCCTCAGGCTTCACCCTCAGGCAGCAGTTTATACTCTGGTGGCCACGGTCCTGCCCGAAGCGGGGAGAGATGGGCCATTAGGGATGGGTATTAGCGTTACCCAGCCACAGGGGGTGCCGCTGACTCATACACCCGCAGCCCCTCCAACCCACAGACCCCTGCTATCCCAGCTCTGCTCCCCCGAGCTCTGCCGGTGCCCCTCACTCCCGACTCCCAGCCCCTCTGCGCTCACCAGCTCCTGCACAAATTGTTCATATTCTCTCCTGGCGGCTTCTACTGCTTTGCTGTTTTTCTCCTTTCTCATCGCTGCAAATGCTTCAGCCATCTGTGGGGGGAGAGGGGACAGGGTGGGGGTTGGGATGGGACCATCTCTGAACTAGGATCCCCCCTCACCACCTTCTCCCCCCATTCTTCCAGGACCCTGCTCCCCGCTTTCACCTCCCCACTGGCCCCTGACCCCCCACATTCCCTCAGAGCCAGGAGGCAGCCCCCCAATGACTCCACAGCTATGGCCACGTTGCTGCCACCCTAGTAGAGAGGGCCAGTTCTCTGGTGCAGCTCCCTGGGGGTCCCTTTACTTCTTGGGAGCTGGAGGTTCCCCATCAGGACAGTTGGGGCAGCTGTTGTGGTGCCCCCCCTCCTGGCCTAGTGCGATTGGCCAATGGGAGGAGGACCTGGGGTGAGGGGTCAATAGAACTAGTGCCCCCCTCCCCTGCAAATCAGAGGGGTTGAGGGAGGGGCAACCTGGTACCTTCACAGCAGAGGAGAAGTCGTAGCGTTGGGTCTTCAAGTATCGGGAGACGTCCTGTGGGGAATAACGCCCGGAGGAACTGGGATCAGGGACAGCTTAGCCCACTCCTTGGCAAGCCCTCCAGCACAGCGCCCCCACTGGTCCCCCTGACCACCCCGTCCTGCACGGCACCCCCTGCTGAGCCCACACCCTGCAGCACGGCACCCATTGCTGAGTCTCTGCTCACCTCCTTGCGGCCCCTTTTGCTGTCTTTCCTCCAGGCCCCCCTCCCCTTTAGCAGCCCCCACTCTCCCACCTTGATCCTGGCAGCCAGCTGAGCCCCCGTCAGCACCTGCCCGGCTCGGTCCGTCCGGACGTGTGTCCCTGCTGAGCGCACCACGCTGGTGACATAGTCACACAGGTACTGCCGGAAATCCTCGTCCATGTCTGCAGGGGGAAAAGGACCCAGGCATCCGGGAGGCATCCAGGTGCCCAGGACAGGGCACAAGTTAAATGGGGGATGTAGGGAGCAGGTTTGTGCCACAGTAAATGAGATTCCATCTCTGGGCAACAGCTGCTTAGCTCCCTCCCACGCCCCACTGCCAGGGGGAAAATGGGG